GAGTTCGAGGGCTACTTCAACGCGCTGATGGAGCAGTTCGGTATTGATACGAAGACGACGGGAGCTCATGCAGCATGGCAGCATGGCCTGGCAGAGCGCCACGGAGGATTGCTCGGCACTATCTGGGGCAAGGTGGTGCACGAGTTCCACGTCCAGGGCAAGTCGATGTCTACTGTGGCCCTGGCTGCCATCGTCAACGCGAAGAATTCGACGATCAGCCGCAATGGGTTGACCCCGGAGCAGGCTGTCTTCGGGCGGATCTTGAATTTTACGGAGGTGACTAACAGGGACGACGATGAGGTTCTCATGTCGGTTCTCGGCGCTAAGGGCATAGCTTGGCGTTCGTCTCAAATCCGCACCGCAGCCAAGATGATGTTGCTGGAGCGCGACGCGACGGACAAGGTGCGGAGGGCGCTGCTGCGACTGGCGCCGACGGTCGTCGGCGATCTGTGCCCAGGATCGCGGGTGTATTTCTGGGCACCGAATCCGTTCAAGGGACGTCGTCGGCAAGATCCTGAAAGATGGCGGGGTCCTGCGACTGTGATCGCGAAGGAATCCAACAGCCGGTATTACGTATCATGGCGTGGTCAGGGGCTACTTGTTGCTCGTGAGCAGCTCCGGCACGCCTCCTCCCAGGAGGCCGCGGCTGCGGAGTCCATCCAGACGGACGTGCGGCTGACGCAGCAGCGAGATGATCGCGCCTACCACGACATCGTGGACGTCACGCACAAGGTGAAGGTTCAGAAGGTGAAGAAGACATTCCTGAAGAAGGAGCGTGACCGACATAGTGAACTCGAGGGGTCCAGGCAGCCTCGTGTGGATCTGAGGGCCCTGGGCGCCATTGAGGCGCAGGCTAAGGAGGAGGAGCCACCTGAGCAGGAGCAGTTGCCGCAGCTTCCGCCTCCGAGGAGGGCCCGGTCTCGTTCCCCTCCAGGCCGGATGTCCTCTGGGACGTACCCGGAAGCTTCTCCGGGAGCAACGGGCTCTGGCGGCCCTTCGGTGCCGCCGATTCCCAGAGACGATTTCGAGCTCGAGCGGAAGCGGAAGTTCCTGGTAGATGACGTGCCGAGTTGCATTAAGAGATCGCGTCTGCAGGCTGCCCCTACGAGTGGCTTGCCGGCTCTCCGCGAGGTGGCCATGAACGCTGTGGTGCACTCGGGGCCCCAGGAGTGGTTCGACCAGAATGCCTTGGATGGCGTCTCCACGCTCGTTCAGAATGTCGTACGAGGAGTACGTGTGCATCGAGAGCCACGGCGGAGACTCTATGATCACGACCGCCACCGGGAGTGCAATCGCCTGTCGGTGATGCTCTCCGCCACGGGCCAGTGTGCCTACAAGGGCGACGGCGCGAGCCGTACCAACGAGCGCATGGAGGACAGCTGGGTTGGTCTCACGCTCTTCTACCGCGACAAGCCGGACGCTCAGGCACAGGGGGTGTGCTACTTGGACACTCCGGAGGGTCTTGTACGGCAGCCGATGACTTACGAGGAGTGGATCAACGTGTCATCTGTGTATGACGCATGGCTGCAGGAAGCGCGGTACGAGCACGACGTGTTCGCACTCGTGATGAAGCAGAACGAGAAGGAGCTAGACCCACGTCACTTCGACCAGCACGAGAAGGCTAAGTTCGACGAGGCCGATGCCGCCGAGTGGCGGCAATGGATCGCCAACAACACGGTCGAGCTGGTCACCGAGGAGGAGGAGAAGAGCATTCCAAAGGATAAGATCATCTCGGTGCCCATGCGTTCGGTTCGCACAAACCGGGGGCGAGGGCCGGAGTTGGAGGCGAAGTCGCGCTTGATCATCCCTGGCCACCTCGACCCGCAGTTTGGTCTATTCAGGACGGATTCGCCTACTACTTTCCCTTTGGCCGTGCTGGTGTGTGCGTCTATCACAATGGCGATGGATTGGACATTCGAGTGCTTCGACGTAGCGACTGCGTTCCTGTCGGGGCTGAAGCTGGAGCGGGAGCTGTACGTGAGGGCTCCTAAGGACGGACTTCCGGCCGTCGACGGCGCGGGATGGCCGGCTGTGCGGCCTTATGCGTTGCTTCGTCTGCTGAAAGGGGCGTGCGTTTTGACGGAGGCGCCTCGGTTGTGGCATCTCCGAGCCCGCCAGGCGCTGACGGACGAGGTCGGCTTTGTGGAGCTGCGCTGTGCTCGGGCTGTCTTCGTTTATCGGGCGACCGGCAAGTTGATTGCTATGTTGACCTTGCACGTCGACGACGGCGTGCTGTTTGGGGGCCCGCGCGACCCCCAGTACCAGGAGGTGCAGCCGAATATCAACAGGCGTTTCAACATCAAGCACTGGAAGGAGGGCGATGACAAGGAGGCAGTCGCCTATCTCGGTGAGGAGTGGTGGCGCCACCCCGATCACATGGAGATCAGCATGCACGAGTACATCGGCGAGGAGCGGGAGATGACTCCCGAAGGACACCACGACTTCCGGAGCTTGCTCCAGAAGGCGCGCTGGCCTGTCGCACGTGTGGTGCCACAACTCGCGTACAGTGCGTCGGCGCTCGCACAGAAGGATCCGAAAGGTCGGAGGTTACTGCACCTGCGAGTGCTCAATGACATCATCGACCGGCTTCAGGACTACGACAAGAGAGGTCTTGCGACTCTCCGGATCCGCCGCGTGGACATCGAGCGCTTGCAGGTGCTCACGCTTGTGGACGCTTCGTTTGCGAAGGAACCCGGCTGTAAGAGTCATGAGTATGATTACGGATACCCGAGTGTTGAAGGAGCTAGCTGTATGTTGTCTAGTGGAGTTCCAGAGTAGTACTATTACACGAGTTGTTGGATCTACGATGGCCGCAGAGTCTGCGGCTATGTCCGTGGCTTTGGATCGGCAGCTCTAACTCCGGCTGCTGATTGAGGCAGTCTTGCACGGGGAGCCGCCCTTGCAAGGGGACTGGAGGCTGGCGCTGAAGGTTCTGGGGGCGCTGGTGACGGATGCGAAGTCGCTCTACGACCACGCGTCCAAGATCGTCTCGATGCCGGTGTCTCGGCAGACCCTCATCGACTTGCTGGTGGCCAAGGATTTGATCGAGCAGGAGGCCATCAAGTTCAAGTGGCTGCCCAATAGCCACATGCTGGCGGACGTGCTGACAAAGGCCGTGCAGCCTAACGAGGTGCTATCGCAGTTCCTCCGCCACGGACTGTTCAGCATGGTGCCTACTGCTGAACAGGAGGATGAGGAGGCACACCGTCTGCGGCTGCGCCGCGGACAGCGTGAGAGAGCCAAGGAGCGGAAGGCCCAGCGTCGGGCCGCCGTTCCGGGGCCTGCGAGCCCGTGAGGTCCTGTTGCAGCCGCTGCATGGACCTAGTGAGGGCTACGGTGATGTGCGCACGTACATTGAGACGACGGTCTGGACTAGTGAGTCTAGACATTCATATTTCATACTTTATATTTTGAGCCTCAGGCCGCACTTTGCTTGAGGTGTTTCGGCCCGTGGGCCGGTATAGGCGATGACTGCGTGCAGCGCTTCACGCTTGTAGGGAGCGGCATCGGGGCAGCATTGTTCTCACCCAGTGTGAAGAGTGCACTCCCCTGCCCCTCTGCCGCCCGTGCCGCCTTGTACGCATGATGCACATGCTTTTCATGTTTGTGGCGTGCACGCTGCCCGCCGCCGTTTTGGCCCTAGTCCTAGGGCCCTGGGACTGCACCCGCAGTTGGACTGCCGCGCGGTCCGAGCTAAAAGAACTGCACTGACAGTTTCCACTCCTTTCTTCCTCCTCTCCTCGTCCTCTCTCCCCCCACGCTGGGCGCGATTTTTCGATTCCCGGCCTGGCTCCCCGGCCCTACGCCCTCGTTTTCGCCTCCCGTCCCGCCCTCGTTTTTATCTTCGCTCTCGCCCCCGCCCTCGCTCCCGCCATGTTTCTTGCTATTTCTGTCCTCGTTCCCACCCTCGCCTCTGCGCTCGCTTCCGCCTTCGTTTCCGCCCTCGCTCTCTCTCCGCCCGCCCTCGCCCCCGCGCTGGGCGCGGTCGGTTGCCCTGGACGAGGAGGAAGAAAGGCGGCGAGGAGGACGAGGAGGATGGCTTTGCCGCAGGAGGAGGGGAAGAGGGAGAGGCCCCCCCTCCCATCCTCTACCGTTTCCCCCCTCGTTGCCCATCCTACCTCCTCCCCTTGCTCTCCTTCCTACCTCGTCCATCCCCTCCCTCCTTCCTCCGCTTCCCTCTCCCTCCCTTTCCCTCCTCCCCCGTTCTCGCCACTCTCCCCCAACCCCTCCCCCTTCCCCTCCTGCTCAGTCTGTCTCTTCCCTCCTCCCCCCCGCATCCGGAGCCTCCTTTTGCTCCACCCACAAAGCTTTCCACGCCCCACCCCCCTCATGCGACACAACCGCTACTAGGGGTGACGGTGTGTACAGAACGCAGAAGGAAGAGGGCCGGGAGGAGCAATGAGGAGGGGCAGGAGGGGGGCGGGACTTTGGGAGGCAGGACAGGGTGGGCAGGAGGAGGGGGAGGAGGAGGAGGAGGAGGCGGAGGAGGAGGAGGAGGAGGAGGAAATCACAGGTTTTGCACCGATCGCTCCACTGAGCTCACAGAGGGGGTGGGGAGGAGGAGGAGAGGGTGAAGGGGGATAGACGTGGGCCCGTGCTCCCATCCCCGCGCCGGCCTTCGCGTTGAAGGCCGCCTAAGGCCTTCGCGCGGGCAGAAGTCCCTGGCAGCAGCCGCCTTGCGGAGTTTGCGCAGATTATTTTCTCCTTTGGAGGAGAGGAGGAGGACAGGTACGAGCGCAGGAGGAGGATGAGGGGATTCAAACCATCCTCCCCCATTTAATCTTGATGTTCCAGCCAGCCAATTGCCCGAACCAAGGGGTTCTCGTGCCGAGCAGTTCGTTGTATTGGGGCCTGGCGAGGACCCCAGCAGGCCGATCATGGCCAACAATTTCCCGTCGTGATTTTCACGACGCCAGCATGTCACCGGGGGAAGCCACTCCGCCGGTCGTCGTCGAAAGCTCGCGCGCGCCCGCGAACCGCGAGTCCGCCGCGCGGGGCAGGTCTTCGTGGACGACCGCGTGGCCTCCGCGATGGCTGCCGCCGCGAGGGGCCCCGGGCACGGCGCCGTGAACAACGGGGAGTGCAAGGCCGCTCCCAGCCGCGACTCAGAGAAGCAAGAGGTCACTTCTTATACAGTGATGCCTTCCAAGATTTTCAGGATTTCCCAGATAAGGTTCGACACGGGCTGCAGAAACCAAGACCACCAGATACGCTGGAATTCCTGTAGCGCGTCAGGAGCAAATTCTGTATCCTTGCATCGCTCCCACCCTTAAGACTTCTGGCCCCCTCGCCCGCCTCCGCGGCCCTTCCTGGCAAGACTCCAGGCCCCCCGAACTGGTGCTGGAGCAGAGTGTGGTCGGAGGGTCGCGCCGCATGGCTGATGCATCGACGACTTTAATCGAGGTTTAAGGTGGGGCGGTATAGCGACCGCTATATCTGCCGCAATCTTGGCTTAAGGTTGCGCAGCCCTCATTTGCCAGTTGCACCATTGTGTGTGACTCTATCTTGTCAATTGTATCAGGCAAAGGCCACGAAGGCCACGTCTATCAACGATCCGCTTCTCCATTTCATGGCTTATCTCTTGCCTTTCGATGTGCTTGCCATCGAGGGGTGCGTTGTGGGATGCTTCGGTACGTCGCCGACGTTAGGGTTCCCACTTTATTACCTCATTGTCAAGCCCTCGAACAATCCTTACGTTTCACTTGGTATCGGAGCTGGCAACATTTTTATGTGGTTGGCTCTTGCATCAGGTGTTATGTCAGAACAGCTTACTCCGGCACAGTGTAATACCCGATTGCGCCGGCTATCGGCCATCACATTCACAATATTCTTCAACCAATAAGTAACCTACAGTCCTACACCTCCATCCCCCCCACAACGTGGCCACACGTCACGCACAACACAAGTACCGATATTCATCCGCAAATTAACGGCCACGTCAGACCAGACACCCAGTCGCAACCCCACCGACGCTACAATATCTAATGCTACGGACGCCTGACATCATCAATTGCAAAACGACCATGCGTTATGTCAAGGATGCAATCTGTTGAACCGTCCAGGCGTGTCCAAGTTTTGAAGAGGCATGCGTGCGAGAGTGAGGACTGAATGAAACATGCACTCGGGGTCCCTTCTGGGGCCCCGCAGGCAACGTACATTTCACCGAATTTGTTTGCGAATCGCACGCATGCCTGAACGTCGCGAGCAGAAGCGTGACTTCACCCCAACAGGCCGCGGCCTTACAGCGCGGCCTGGGTGGCCTAGCTAGGACTTTGGCCATGAGATGCCGTTCATCATCAACTATGGTGCCACCTGACAGGACAGACGCACCGACGGAGTCACGTACATCATGTATCTAGTAGACACCATATTTGAAAACCCTGAGGACGAGCGGTAGCTTACTTCGGGGACAACCCTCATCGGTTTTAGGGTCGATAGGAGCGAACGTATCGACCGAGTATTTGCCTGATTCGAGATTGCCAAGCTGGATGCAGACTCAACGGGCTTCAACGTACCCAACTTCCAGATTCTTACCCGGATCTTACTTCTCAGTGGAACACGAAGTATTCATATTGATAGTCTTCAAGATTTCCAAGTTTTCCTGTTCTTGCGCGCGGGCTCCAGGGACGAATGGTCGAGCGCATTCCGTCGCGCAGGTTCTTTGCGTGATGCGCGCGGTGCATGTGTCGCGAATCGGAGCGCCCTCGGAGATTCACAGCTGCATGCTGCGTTGCTCTTGGGGAGTCCGCGAGTCGCAGCTGCCGTGGCGCTGTTTTTCGAGGCCGCCCCTTCGAGTGCTTTTCGCGGGCGCAACGCGCGGCGTGCGCTGCGCCCAATCGCGCGCGGTGCGGCGCGTGAATCCGCCAGCCGCGCCCGTCGGATCGCCTGGACATTATGTCTGGATTGTATAATGTTTCAGAAACTCTTCCGTGTTTTTTTTTCGTTTGGCGCAAGCGGGTCCGGAATTTTCCAGAAAGGAGCTTGGATTTTGTGTATGTGGAGAACCCTTTGAGGGGTGGAATGCGCCCGCCGCGCAGGACTTCTGAAGAATTCTGAAATCCGGAAGTTTTCGACATGGATCCCGGTTTTTTTATATCGTACCCCGATTTTCTCAAAATCGATTACGGTAGGTTCGCGTCGTGTCGACCGGCGGCGACCCCGCCGCCGACATTCAACGTTGAACGCCGACGGCGGCCCAGAATCGGTCGATGTTGAACGATCGGACGTTGCGGTGACGGCCGATCGTTCAAGGTTGAACGATCCAGCGCGGTGTCAGGAACCAACGCCAGGGTCGACACGGCACGGACCTGCAGTACGGACCTTTCTCAGAAACGCTCCCAGATTTTTCAAATTTACCCCCGGGAAATTTCCAGAGTCGCGCGTGATTTGCCTTGCCAGGTCTTTGGAAAACCGCCGAGGCGCGCGGTGCGCGGCGGCGGGCGACGGAGCGGCGCGCCGCCGCCCCCCCCCGCTTTCGGCAACGAAAAGGGGTCAGCAAGTGCCAAATAGCCCCCTACGGGCGACCATGCGATTGCGAATGGGTGGCCGACCAGCGGCGCCAGCCAGAGTATATAGACAATGCTCGACGCAAAGTGCACCCCGCGCGAAGGCTGTTAGAAACCTTCAGATCCCCAGAACGCATCAACAGCACCTTGTGTCAATGGATGCTTATCGCCTTTTATTTCGCGCCTTGGGAGTTGGCAGTTGGCATCTCCCGAGCGGCGCAGCCGCTGCAACCGCTGAGCCACCGGGCGCCCCGCGCCCACAAACAGTTCGACCGACTCTTCGAACGAATGCGCAGCCGCGGGCACTTGGCTAAGCGTTCCCCGGGGAACGCCGGGGGCGTTCACAGCGGGCGCGGCGCGGGCGCCTGTCCTGCCGAAATATGCGACGCACCGGCGGCCGTGCCGAATGGTGCATGGCATGACGGAGAGCTCACTAAGCCCACGACGATTTCACGCCAAAGCGCCAACAACGAACGGGTTTCTGGCGCCAGCGCGGGCTGGCCATCGGCGGCCGGCTACGCGCTGCAGGGCCCCCGCCCTCTGGGGTTCCCCCAGCCAACGAGATGACGACGTCTTCGATTTTGGCAAGGGTACTGGTGCGGTTCTCTCCTCTACCGGCGCTGGAAACATCGACTGGTCAGACATGCCTGCCGGGGGTGATGCAGCAGCGCGGCGCCCATGCCTTGGGCGTCATGATGCGAAAAGGAGATGGGGGCGGCATGTGGAGAAACCAGCTGGGAGGTTTAGGCGAGCTGCGCGTCGTTTCTGCTTTCCCCGCAGTGGTGGGCGCGCCCGCGGATTGCACGGCGATGGCGCGGCCGCGTCTCTTGTTGGATTGGCCGACTACGACTTCGAGGGCCTATGTTTAAGCGGCTTGGGCAGAGGCAGAGGTCGCGGGCATTCGACGGGCAAGGGCAAGGGGCGCCGGCTCAATCCGATGGATCATGGTAAACGTATGACATGCAATACCTGCGGAAGGGATGACCATTTCCAGGCGCTGTGCTCCAAGTGAGGCGGGAAAGGGGGGCGGATCTGCATTTCTCGGCCCAGAGTAATCCGAAGCGGGCATCATTGAGTGCATTGGTGTCCCCGAAATCGCCCGCCCGCTTCGCCCCCAACCAAGGTCTGCTGGGTTTTTGGACGGCCGCCTTTCCGACGCTGCTATGTCAGCCGAGCGCTGCGCCAAGCGCCTGCGCGACGGGGTCGAGGAGCTGTTCGACGCGCTCATCGTGGACTTGGCGGGCGCGCGTCGGCTCGGACGCGCGCGGTGCGACTCGGGCGACGACTGCGTGTCTGACGCGGGAGCAGCACCTGCCACCGACGTTGAAATAATGGAGCATCTCGGGCACGAGCAGGCGAGGCCCCCCCCACTCCCGACTCCAACAGTGTTTGACTTCGAGGAGGTGCAACCCTCCAGGTCGGGCCCAGTGCCGAGCCCCTGTTCGAGCCGGCTTGAGACGAAGACGTCCAGCTTGAGCAAGTGGAGACCCCAGGCAGGGCGCGGGCCGCATTCCACAGGGCCTGGCCCTTGGCTCGGTAGGGCTCGCGATACCTCATGGAAGAATAATCCCGGGGAGGCTTGTCCAATGGGACGACTCGGGACTCGGGATTTCGCAAGAAGTAGTGGTCTGATTGGGGGGGTCTGATATGAGCTGTTTGGGAGGGTTCCAGTGGGGTCTGGGCAAAAGGCCGCCCCATCATGGCTGCTCTGGGGCGTCTGTCTAACATTGCCCGTCTGGGAGGGTTTTGACCCCCTCCATTTTATGACGACGTGTGGAGCAATCTATCCCCATCCCCATTAGGCCATGGTATCTCAGCCCCACCACCCCACCACCCCAGTTGGGGCTAGTGCCTTCGAAACCCATAAGGAGCAGCCTATGTCCCCATCCAGGGGGGGGTAAATCGGCCAGTGGGGCCCAGGCCACGCCCGTGGGGATAGTGATCTGCTGAATGATGCCCATTGGGGCCGGCTGGGGGTCGGAGGTGGCCCAGCACTGGCTCTGGCGAGCAGGAAGGGGTGGCAGGTCCGAGGTGCGGGGTTCGCTGAGATTTGTTGTATTGTTTTGCGTCTGGGGAGAGTTCTTGGGCCCTGGGACCAGAAAGAAACGGCTTCGGGGTGCAGGCTTGGCCCAGGTGAATCCCAGGAGGGGTCCTGGGATTGATTTTGAGCAGATTTGGCCTAATTCCCCCCTCTTTGTCGAGATTCTGGGGTCCCAACCAGCTCAGACCCCCTGGTTGCCTCCAACCTGACCCGAGCTTTTGAGGCTTGGGCGAAATAGCATATTTTTGTCCGATTATACTGCCGCCTCAGTTGTGCGCAACAATGCCAGACGTTGTGTTCAAAGTGCGACCCTGGTCTTCGCAAGCGAAGGCATCGGGAACTTAAAGAACAGTAGAGCTGGCAATCATGTAAAGCCGAAGCACGGCAACCGGATAGTCAAGTTGCAACCGCGACAAAACGAGACGCTGATGATGGCAATTCCCACCTCAGTGTGCCCCGGGAAGGAGGCGCCTGGCAGGGTTTCGGGCTCTTCGGGCTGGGCGGGTCAGCCTCCATTCGAGGTCCATCTCACGTATGTAGTTCGCTGGATTCTCGCTGGCAAAGCCAACGCAGCGCGCTCGTCCACACCGGTGTCCCTGTGACTAGCGTCTTCTGACATTCGGAGTGGGCTGCGAGCGCGTGCGTTACATGTACGAGAAAAGTTCCCAAAGTAAATGAGCGTCTTGTCGGTCGCCTTGGTGGGTGCAGAATGCGCTATGCTCTTTTCGCCGGCATGAAGGAACATCGATCGAGAAAGAAGTAGGACAGTTTGGCGGAAAGTCTCATGCTCGCGGCGGCGAAATTTAGTCATTTCTCACCCTGCCGCATCTATTTCCATGCGTTTTTGCGCGGGCAGGGCTGGGCCAGCCGAGGGGGGGAATTAGTAGTTTAGATCGATCCCGTATTGTGCGCGCATCGCCTTGCTCGCCGTGGTCATGCAAGCGGTTCCGTTCTGCGTCCGTGGTCGTATGGTAGAATGCTCATTCGCAATAGCTAGCTTCCGTAGAGCATACGGGCGTTTCTTCCAACTTTCAGGCTGCGCTCAGCGTATTTGCTCATCTGCTGTCTGGGAGCATGTGCGGGAAAGGCGCCATCGCCTACCTCGCCGGTGTTTTGCGAGGACGCTGCGACAGGGGAGGGGGCTCTCCGTGCCATTCTATTGCCGCCCGCCGCTCTGCATTCGTTGTTGCCTTCTTGCGTCTGCCCAGCTCGAATCTTTGACGTCTTCGTTTTTTTCAGGAGTCTCTCCCCGCGGTGTCCGACTTCTGTTCTGCTGTCCTGCCCCCCCCAGCCATCTGCATCTTCCTTCTTGTGTGCATCTGCTTTCTGTCTCCTGCCTCGCCTGCTCCTGCCTCTTGTCCGCCTCCTCTGCCTCCCCCTTGCCTCCTGCATGCGTCTCCCCTCCTCTTCGTACCTCTCCTCCTCACCCTTCGTCCTCCTCCCACAGGCTTCCCTCTCACCAGGGCAGTGGTGGCGCCAGCATGTGCGCCCGCGCGTTTACCCATACCCACCAGCTGGGGCACCGATCTTCGGGGACGTCGGCAAAGGGTGGACTTGGATATATTTGTTCATCCAGGGCAAGGATGTATTCATGCCCGTGCCTGCCTAAGTTCCCGACGCTCGAACCCCAGGCGGTGGGTAGGGGTACATCCCCTGAAAGGAAAGCCGATCCTGCGATCGTCGGGAAGGAGGGGCGCATCCTCTTTGACATGCTGTCGTGCTGGTGCCGCCCAGATTCTCTCATGCGCGCCCCAGCCGCCTGTGCGAAAAAACCGAACCGTGTGATCAGGATGGTCGGCGGCGGGCGAGATGGGGAAGTGAGAAGGCGAAGGCCTCCTCAGAAGGCGGTGGGACTTCTCAGAAGCCCTCGCGCCTTCTGAGACGTTGTTTCTGTGTCTTCGGGCAAGGCCTAGAGAACTTCTCAGGCAGCGGGGGGATTTCCGAGCCCTCTGAGAAGGCCTTCTCCTTCTCACTTCCCCCCTCGGCTCGCCGCCGAGATGGGGAGGATTGAATCGGAGGAGGATTCTTGTTGGAACGCCTGGCTCTCGGGACCAATGCGATTGGAGCTCCTGATCGGTCTTGGCGTTGGGCATCCTGTGCTCATAGGCAGAGGGGGACGGAGAGAGAGGAGGGGAGGAGGGAAGGAGGGAGGAGGATGATGACGAGGACGAGGAGGGCGAGGACCAGAGTCCTCGCAAGTTCCTGCAAGCCTTCCTTGCTACTTCAATGAGCGCCCCCCTGACAAGGCCAGCACCCTACATTGAACTGCAATTCGGGTGAGAGCCTCGTTTTGACAAGGTCCTGCCTTGAATCCTTGCAGTTGTACCATCTGTCCTGCTTCTCGCCTTTAGGATCCGACGAAGTCTCATGCGAACGCCCAATTTTGAAAACACTGCCACCCCGCCTCTGCGCAGGTGTTGCACCGTTTCAAGTTTATGTCGGTTGCGGTCGGACCGAGGTGTCAGATCGAGGTCGGCTCGGGGAGGGTACCATGATGTTGTTCGTGTTTGTTGGATCGTCTTGTGCATCCTGGGGAGGGCCCCCTTGGATGTTCTGTGTGTTTGGGCCGGCGGAGGATCTCATGTTCTTGACACATGTTCCTCTGTTCTAGGTCCGACCGTATGCCAAGCGACAACTTCACCTCGGAAATGAGCCGCCCACCATCCTCATCCTTGTAGGCGTTGCACGCTCTTGAGATGACTCTGCGCAGAGCTACGGCGAGAGCCCCGAGGAATTGGAGCCGTCGACCATCCTTGACACTGCTGCAAACGTTTGAAACGAATGTGCGCGGCGCTGAGGCGAAAGGAGCCATTTTCAATTCTTGAAACAGTTGCACTCTGAAAAAACAAATGTGTGCGGTAGTAATACGAGAGCTCGACTGTGAACACGATTCCCCACCATCCTTGAAGCTGTTGCGAACTTCAAGCTTCAGTGTCTGAACTGCTGAGGAAGTGCCCAGGCGAAACGCCCAGCCCGCGCTACCAGCCCGTCTCGGGGTGCGACAGGAATGAGTCATCTATATGGAGGACGAATGGGGGACGAGGAGGATGTAGGAGGACAGGTGGGCGGAGGAGAAAGAGGGAGGCGATAGGAGGAAGGAGAAGGCAGGAGGGCGAGGAGCAGGAGGATGAGGAGGAGGAGGAGGAGCATAAGGAAAAGGAGGGAGGATGTCTTGCTGTTGGGAAATGAGGAGGAGGAGAAGAAGAAGGAGGAGGCGGAGGACAAGGAGGAGGCGGACGAGGAGGAGTAGGGAGGATTAGCAGAATGAGGACGAAGGGAGGAGAGGAGTGCCGGCAGGGTGGAGCAAGGGTGAGGCTGAACGAGCAGGACCAGGAGGAGTGAGGAGCAGGAAGTAATTAGGTAGGAGCAGGCAGGAGGGCCACGAGGACGTGGGAGGAGGAGGTGGAGGCGGAGGAGGAGGAGGAGTTGGAGTGAGGATGAGGAGGAGGAGGACCAGTGTAATCCCAATACGCTTCACTGATGTTGCAATGAATCCTCCCTCCACGATCCCTCCGCAGTGATCCCTGCAACATGTTGTATTCATTGCTGGCAGAGGTCCACTGAAAGTCAACCGTCCGAAGAAGTCGAGCCCCAGACTCCAAAAAGGGGAGAGGACTCCCCAGGACAAGAACAACGCAGCAAAGCAACAATGTTACATGCGTGGTGTAATTCTGGCATGACCCAGGTTCTCCTCATATAACTACTTTGCTGGTGGTTGATTGCTCGGAGAGACTTACGTCGCGAGGAGGTGTGTTAGGTATGTCTATGCAGTCTTTTCTGATATATCTGGCTCTGCAGCCCTATCTGGCTCAGGAAAGGACTTCTGGCAGGCGTGGCCGCTCCTCTCACAGTGGGGGGCCGCCGCGCCTGGAGCAGCGCTCGGCCAGTTTGTTCGCGAACGCCCGCAGCACTGCCATTGCGACTGCGATTGCCGCGGCGACCCCATCATCGGTGCGGCTTTGGCGAAGCAGCTGGAGCACTGCAGGCCCGCGCCGCTGCCAGCGGCCGAGGCCCCTGCGAGCCTCTGGGTTTTGTTCTTCCTCGGGGTGCCCGCGGGCGTGGCCGTCACGCTCTCGGTTCTGGTGGCGGTCGCCCAGGATTTGATCCGTCGCGGGGTGGTGGACTTCCCTGCTCCGTCGCCGCCGCGGGCGGCCATCACCAGCGGATCTCAGGCGCCCGCGAGACCGGGCGGGGAGGCGTCCGCGGGATCGGCCCAGAGGGGCAAGAGGGGCGGCAAGGGCGTCGTGCTGACGGCGTCCACTGACAGTCTGTGAGTGCGAGGGGGGCGGCAGGAGCCGCTGCCGCTCACGTGCTGGACCGAGGCTCCGCAGCCCGGGTCCACTACGGCGCTGCCGAACATCATGCGAGGCTGGTGGGTGCACATGTGGAGCATGACGAGTACGCTGTCGTGCCCCCCGCTTACGATGTATTCGTAGAGCAGCTCAGCCTGAACAGCGCGGATTTGTTTCAGGGGATCCGCTTCTCGGCCACCGTCGACGTACGGCCCCGTGGAGTCCCCAGCCCTGGCAGCGTGCTCTTCGCCCCGCTGACGGCCGCCGAGATCAGCGAAGTGCTCGCGGAAGCAGACCAGGTCTGCAACCTCGGGCGAACCCACCGTGGGCTCTCGCGGTTCCGCGAGGCCGCTCGAGCGCCTGGCGGCGCCGCGGCGGTGGCGACGCCCGTGCCTGCTGTCGCCCCCGCGCCTGGAGGAGCCAGCTTGGTTCCCGCGGGCGGCGACTGGGTCCTCGCCGAGCCCCTCATCGGCCACGGCGTCGGGGCCGAGTTCGCGCTGCCCGCGGGGACCGCGGTGCTGGGGTCGAGGGCGCTGGCGGTCATCCATCGATGTTGCCGCCGCCAGCCTCGAGATGCTCGCAGGGGGGGGGGAGGGGGGGGCATCGCTCGGTGGGCCCTTGCTCGAGGCAGTTTCCTCTGCGACGACCCGAGGATCTTGGCGCGGGCCCCGGCGGAGTGGAGCTTGATCGAAGCCGTCGGGTTCATTGCAGCGTGCGCGCGTAAGGCTGAGGGCCTGCCCCCGTCGCTTTTGCTGGGGTCTTCCGTCGGAGCCGAGTGGGTCGATTCAATGACCAGGGGCGGTATCGCACGCCTGGTTGCACGTGCGGACAAGCGTTTGAGTGACAGCGGTGTGAGACAACGCATTTCGCCCGCCCACGAACACTTCATCCCCCATCGCGCGGCCCACCTGCCAGCGACGGTCGACGGGCTCAGCGTCGAGGACTTGGTGGGGGTCGAGCTCCTCTCGCGGCGGATCGCGTTGCACGAGGGGGCAGTGGCCGGGAACCCCGACGCCCCAAGCTACGAGGGTGGAGATCACTACCTCGGCGTCGGCGATCGGGCAGGTGGCGCGCAGGCGGCCCCGCCACTGCGGGCCCGCGCCGCGACGGGGCTCAGCAAAGAGGCGGCTATCCTGAAGGAGAAGAGGAAGGCCCGGGAGTCCAGGGCCACCGGTGTCGCGACTGCGAAGGCCAAGGCAGACCCCGCGGCCCCCGCCAAGAAATGAAGAAAGGGGCGGGGGCGGCGACGCCAGCAGCTGCCCCTGTCTGCGACGCGAGCGCTGGCGTGATGTCCGAGGGGGTCTCCTCGGGCAGCAATTTTGCGCGGTGCCGCCCCGGGGCCTGGCCTCGCCGACGGCGAGAGGCAGCAGTAGATCGGCGCAGTCGCCCCCCCCCCCACCCCCACCCTTCCCGACGCCCCTCGCGGCCGGCGCCCTGGGAAAGGCAGCGGGGGGAAGGCTCGGCTGCGCCGCGAGCGGTGGCTCGCTGTCCAGTCGGCGGCGCAGGAGGCAGTCGACGGCCTGAACCTTCTGCGGGCGCGACCCGCGGGAGATCTCAGCGCTGCCGCTGCGCGAGGGAGCTGGCGCCGAGGTCGGCCCCAGCTCCGCGCGCAGTGCGATTCGCCGGCGTCTTTTCTCAACTATCCCTTTGGGGCCTCCCGATCATGCGCAAAGTGGCCGCGGCTCTTTCTGTGAGTGGGCTGGCGCCGGCGTGGATTTCGAGACGCGTGCGCGCGCGGTCGACCCATGCGACCCGGCCGAGGTGTCCTTGCCCAAGGGCAGGTCTCGCCCGTCGATTTGACTAGCGTCGTTTCTCCCGAGCTCGGCCG